ACCCAAAAAACCTGTATTATGGATGATATTGGTCGTGAAAGCCTACGTGTTAAACCAATGTTGTACAATTTCCATGGATATATACGTGCATGATATGTCATCCCTGATTGCTTTGACAAATGAAACGTTTGAAGATGTTTTAATATATATGTGTAGTGCCAAACATTGTGTTGGAGCTTCACTTTGGTTGCTGTCTGGAGAGATTGGATCATGCCATAGGAATGTGGCATTTACACCATTGGTTTAGGGTCATGAACAAATATAAGAAGCATTCTGCACTTGTCAGATGAGAGTTTAGACTTTGATTGTCAAGTTACCTTACTGCAGGGCAGACCAACAACACAATTTCTACACAGCTAATCAATAAAATCTGATTAAAAGTTATGTATTCCTGGGGCATTTACTGAAGGTTAACTGAGATCAAAGATGATAATGAAATAAATAGGCGAATGAGAGCAATACTCTTTGGTTCTTTCGGTACGTAGGTAGAAAAAATAAATAATAAAATACGACGTTTCGATCGCAACACAAGCAATCGTCATCAGGTACGAAGATACAGCCATATAACTGCTGAACAAGACAGGGCTGTTGCAAAAACAGGCTATACAGTGGTACCTCGGAGATCGAACTTAATTCGTTCCAAAACCATGTTCGAACACCAAACTGTTCAAACACGAATCAATTTTCCCCATAAGAATGAATGGAAATAGCATTAATTGGTTCCCCACCCAAGGATGCTCCTATTATGGGCCATTTTTTTACACAAAGTTTACAATATTAAAATACAGTACAGTACATAAAATCATACAAAAAACAAGAAACACAGTTATAATTAATAGAATAAATGAACATTGAACTTCACTTTACCTATAGTAAGGAGAGTGGATGGCTTGAGTGGAAGGTGGTGAGGAGGGGAGGAGGAGGTGTCGGTGTTGCTTGGAAGGGGAGTCCCCCTCCATAAACACGTTGGGTAACTGCCCCTCTGGGGTTCTTTATTTTCTTTGCCTTTTTTCGAGCACTGTGATTCACTTGAGGGCCTTTTTGCTAAGAACTGATCAAGAGAGGATTGTTTCTGCCTCCGTTTTAAGATGTTTCTGGAATTACTCAATGCATTATCATTATAAAAATCGCCTGCTCTGCTGGCTACTGCCTTATCTGGATGATATTTTTCTACAAAATTGTGTAACTCAGCCCATTTTGCCACCTTTGAAAAGTTGGAAATTACCTGTTGGTCCATGGGCTGGATGAGAGGAGTCGTATTGGGGGGCAGGAACTTTACAGTGATAAAGGACGAGATCTACGCGTAAACTGGGTCATTCGCCTTTGTCTCGGTCGCCCTGGCTACACGGCTCGGCCCAAACAGGTTTTTCCAGTTGTTCGACCTCCGAATTTGTTGTTCGATGTCCGGGGCAAAAAATGGTCAAAAATTTTGTTCGATCACTGAATTGTTCGAGTTCTGGGGCGTTCATCTCCGAGGTACCACTGTATATAGGTTTGAGGTGGGTAAGTAGGCGCGGTCAAAGATGCGCTAAAGGAGGATCGGCATATTCATGCAAACGAGTACAATGGGAAATGAGCCCCGTCGTCGCACACGAGCACCGTCGCCGTACGCACAGCAGCCACGGGGGCAAGTTGGAGCCTTTTTGAAAAGCTCAATGCTTTTGGAAAGCTCAACTTGATAATGTGAAGCATTGTGCAAATGTGACTAAATAAGATAATTTTACATCAATGCATGTTACCCACTATGACATGGATCAGAAACATGAGCACCGATTAATAAGATTGAGGCATGGAGAAATGCATGCTTGGAATTACACTGAGAGACAAAACGAGGAATACGCGGATTTGTGAATAAAGTACTGATAATAACATACTGTTAATCATAGTAATAATATCAGTGGTTAAGAAAAGTGGCCTTGGGCAGGACACATTTCTGAAAGGACAATGGTTGGATAGTGAGAATAACGACAGTGGCATCCGCAGGAGATAATGTGTCCGATGGCTATGTCATCTGCGGAGATGGAGCAATGAAATCCACTCGTTGACAGATGCTGGGTGAATTGTTGCATCGTAGGACTGTGAGAGATGGTGTCGGCTTGGGGAGGCTTTCATTCAACAGTGGATTGATTATGGCTGATTATGATGATGGATTAGTTGTGCAGATGCTTATCCTGCTCATGCATATCTGCATGCTGTGCACATGCGTTGAGAAGAAATGTCATGCTTGCAGCGCGGTTCCAGTGACATGCCTGTGCAGGGTGACACCCATTAGAGCTGTGAGAGACACTGCATGCTCATTACGAGGCCACTGGAGGAGCGATATCATATATTCAGTGTGCTGTTGCTTTACTTTTAACTGCATTTTATTTTGTCAGAGACATTGCATCTCATTTATGAACCGTGGCAAATATTTGACGTCCAGACAGGCACATAGTTTAAGTAAAGGATGAATGATGTAATGGGAAATGTTAATGTATGTGGGTACATTGTGCATGTATATAGTGGCATATGACATTAATATTTCCATGTTTTTTTATCGTGTGATAAAAAGCACACACACATTTAACAATTTAAGATGTTTTACAATCTTTTCCATAAGATATTATGTTTAATGCAAGTCACACTTGCAGCAAGTGCAACAGTCTAGCTGTGAACAGATTACAAGTGATTTAAATCTTTTTTACAGAGGGATGGCCGTGGATGTTGGACTTGAGCTTCTATCCCTCTCAGAAAAAAATGGCAGCTGCTGTCATTGGCAAAAAAAGGTCAAACATTGTCTTAGGCTCAAAACTGTTACTTAATGCCTTTCATTTAAACAGCTAAGATTCTGTTTAACAAGGAACTTTTTGAAATGCCAAGGAAGTTGGAGGATGGCCTTCCTCACAGGCCTTCTTTTCATAGCTTTTGATCCAAGGCCTGGGCAATGTACCCATGAAACTTAAAATTGGCTTCTCAGGGTTGCCCTATTACAGCTCTCAACAAGACCTGCAGACAGTGACCTTCAACAAATACTGCATATTTGCCGCTTGCCCTATCCTGTTTAAGCTCTGCACTGATGCTTCTTCAAATTCATAATGGAGCATCAGGCATTTTTAGTAAAGCATCCTTCCCTTCGGCCTGGCCACGGCTTATTTATAAAAGTCATAATCTTGCTCATGTAAGCACTGAACGAAGCAGGTCTACAATTACATTCCTACCAGGGCGACCTGCACATCTCAGGTGATTGTGCCAGAAGCACATGGACATGAGCCTACAATTTCTAGAAGCACACGACCGGTTTGCTCAGCTGGCAGACAATTTAATCTTTATCCAACTCAGCAGCGGCACTGTTTTTGGTGCAAGGAGCCCCGCTGATTCGGGCTTCCTGCTCCTTGTGGGGGAATAAACGACCCACATTCATTGCACCGTTCAGTACCTGACAAAGCCATCGACGGTGCCTGCTGAATCGATCGTGCCCCTGCCAGGGTCACTCACTGCCACAATGGGAGCTGTTCCCTGTGCCACTATGGACAAGTTCCCCACCTGCAATAGCTTCTGTTGGTGCACTGGTGCCCGCTGACAGGGTACAATTGCCCTGCAGGTGGAGACCATTGGGAAGGCAGTGGCGACATGGGATTCATTGAACACGTTTGCGATGCACTGCCAATTGGTCTTGATTGCATCTTGGGGGGCAGGGGGGAGGCAGGGTTGCGGAGAAATTCAGCAGATCTGTCCCTATCAACAACCTCACCCTCATCAGGGTGTCTTGCTTGGGTATGAGTTGCTACGTGTTTGGAATGTCATCTGCATGGATACTGATGAATACAAATTTATATTGTCTATATTAGTAAAAGCATTTTTTTTTTAGTTGGTGTCAGTACCAGTATGGGACACAGCCTCCCTGAAAGTGATGGGTTCAAGCTCTCTGCTGACCCATTGGTAGTGGTGCACACACTTGCTCTCACACACACTTTAAATAACATGGATCTCCTTAGCCCATCGTTCCTGTTCTGTGTCAGAATTTCATGAATATAAGTGTCAAGTTGTGCATTGTTATGGCTACATTCTTAAAGGTTATATTGAAATTATGTGAGGTGTCCATTTATGCTAGTATTTGTGTTATAGCTGGGTATGCTTGTTAACTGATTGTTGCGACCCTCAACCATTGTGTGTTCGGGTCGCTTCTGTCTTTAAATATACGTTTTAGTAATTATTGGCTGTACTATGCATGAGTGATAGCGTTACAAGGTCACGTGTCACAACGCCTCTACGAGTAGAGCGTCCGTGTTTTTGTGGTGTTCTGTCTGCAGACGGTGGCTATTGCTTTTGTCTCAGACAGGAAGTATTTTTTTAGTGTAGTCCTTTTGTGACCAGACCAACTACTACACTCCAGAAGTCACTTTAATGACGATTGACCGTCTTAATTCAACTTCAGCTTCTTGGCGGTGCTGGCTCGTCGCTCTGACGTGGCTTCTATGAGCTCTGTGAGACGAGGCCTTTCCTCGCGGTGGCTTTGTACATATATATTGTTTTATGCAGGGGCACACACTGTTGTAATTGAAACGATAATTAGATTAATTCGAAAATATAATACTTGGGGCCCACACATTCATTTATTGTTGCGAGATTTTTTTTTTATTGAATGAGCTAATTGACCACAGGATTTATGGAGAAAAGTCAAAATCTCTCTCTGGCCAAGAAATGCTTATCTCCATTGGTGGTCTTGAGCTTGTGGTAGGAATTCCAAATTCTTATGGCAGTTGCCAATCTGTCCAAAGTGGTTACTGCTAATTCTCACAAAATAGCATTTTCTGAAACCTGGAAAAAATGTTTTAGTTGACTCCCAACTGGGCGACCTTCAAGTTGCACCTTGAGTACAGCGCCAAAGCTTTCCTCATGTGGATTGTATTCCCCCACGTGACTGGGCGAGAGATCTGTGGCATGTTGCCCTCCAAGCCTCTGCGCCGCTATTCATTATTACGTGCGGTAGAATAACGTTGAATGTTCTTTTCTTCTGGTAGGGCCCAGGTGGGCGTCATGGAACCTGGGGGTGTTTATCTGCATCCGCTGTGCGGGAATCCACCGCAACCTGGGAGTTCACATCGCACGCGTCAAGTCGGTCAACCTCGACCAGTGGACATCTGAACAGATACAGGTGGGACTTCACCTGTCAAGACAGTTACCTGCTTAGGCAGTTGTGGAACATTCCACATTCCCTCCAGTCTTTCCATCGGACAATCACTGTGATGTTCGAGCCGACTTACATTACAGGGAATATATTATGTAACAATGATTTATGTTTGTGCAATATTTTCGATTTTCTCGTGTGACACAGTTGTTTTTTCCTAAGATTTCTATTTGCTTCATTGCCGGACTTTGTGTTATTTGTTTTTCTTTTGTAATTTTGGTGACAAGTCACGTTTTTAATTGAGACTATCCTGGTCTCTTGTGTTACTCACCTGGTTAAACAACATGAACTTGAATCGATATTCATTTTCTAGACCTATTTGGCGTTATTGGATTTGTAATCCTCTCAGAGACTTGAACTCCAAATTTTGTATTTGAGTCGAGCATCGTAAGTTCAGTGCCACCTTGGCTGGATCCACTAGGCCCAAGCTCATCCATGTGTATGTCAACCCAAGCATGCGAGTGATTAATGAAACTGCGATGGAACATTAATATATTTCATATATTACACTTCACTTAAAGTTTTTATTTCATCAAAGTGTATGGCATTAAGTTGAAAAGGAAAACACATTGAGACTAAAGTAAAATCCAATAAGCTTTACATTTTTTTTATGTGTATGCTACTCACGGTTATTTTCGATGCCATACATTGGAATGCAGTGTATATATCATATTTGCCAAATGTTTTAGCTGTTTATGCAGGCACACACTTAAAGGGAGCTTCATACATCTTTGTATAACTATATTTTAAAACAGGTCCATCGCCATCCCCTTTGCATGACCCCACTATAACTCCCTACTCCCAATCAGCCTCGAGGAACTAATGCCATAATTAATTCTCAAAGTGTCGTTAATCCCAAAAGGATTCAGGATGCCTCAAGAAAGGTATAGGCCTTCCTCTCAAGACTTCCCCGGTGGAGTGTATGCCCGCTTTTATTTATAAATTTAACAAATGCAGCAGGGATTCTAATGTTATCTTCGTTGTGAATTATTGGCTTTCCTCCAGGCTCACCCTTGAGAGTTGTAGCCTTTCTGAAAACGCCCTAGGGATTTGTGCTCTAGTGCTGGTTTTGAGATTAAGCATTGGCACCAGATCAGCCGGAAACACCTCCTTGCCGTGCCATACCGTGGTGTTGCAGTACAGCCTTTACCAAGAGAAGACAACGAATGCGGTGTTAGTAACGCACTATCGGGAAGGCTCTGTGAGACGACAGCTGTAATCTTATGGCCATGGATGACAGGACGGAAAGCGTTAAGCCCTGCGTTCAGATGCAGGATTTCTTTTTTGCAGCAACTGTTGTAGTGGAATACATTTCGGTGGGTGTCAATGGGGATGTACTCAAAGCTTAGTGGTTCGGCGGAAGGGGAGCCTTGCGGTCAGTATATTTGTTGCCACCCTTCATGCACTCGGTGCATGTATACACTCGGTTTAATGTGGCAGCGTTATGTGGGTTCATGGATGTTTGTGTCTGGGTGTGCTTGTACCAGTGTCAAGGGATGGCTCCCTATTGCTCAACTACGTTATGTATGCCGATTATTTGGTAATAGCTGCTCATTCAGAGGAGGAGTTGGAGATGCTGCTGCTGAGACTGGAGCGTGCCACTAAGAGAATGGGGCCTTACCATCAGCCCCACCAAAACTAAGCACCTGCCTTGGTATTTTGTACCATCGGACACTCCACCCCCACAACTCCCAATCGGTGATGGGGCAGTTGTGGAGAGAGTGGAGAGTTTCCCATACCTGGGCAGTGTACTTATGACTGGCTCCAGTTTAACAGCAGAGGTCTCACTCTGAATCAGTCGAGCGGCAATGTCTTTTCATCGGTTGCGTAACGCTGTGTAGAAGCTACTTGGTCTGTCGCTCCGCACTAAGCTTCAGGTCTTCTCGGCCACGGTCATTCCCTCCCTTCTCTATGCTTGCGAAACGTGGACCCCCCTAATGGAACATCTTCGCCGGTTAGAAACATTTAGGCTAGCCTGCCTACGATCCATCCTGGGTTTAACCAGGCTGGATTGTGTGAGGATCTCACAAATCTTTGAAAGATCTGGGAAAGGTCCCATCGGTGAGCTCCTCCGGCAGGCAAGGCTGCGTTGGCTGGGTCATGTAGCCCGCATGCCCAGCCACCGCATGCCGAAACAGCTTTTGTTCGGCCGGATCGAGGGGGCTAAATGGGCGTGGCACGGGCTAGAGAAGAGATGGAGTGATGTGGTACAGGAATTTCAATTTCAGTTTATTTTGGTATAGCTCTGTGAGCCATTCGGCTCTTGAATCGGGTGCAACCACAACAAACAAAAAAACAAAAACATGAACAAGAAAAACATCTTAAAGTGACTATGTGACTGTGCAAACAGATAACCCATGAAAAAACAGCAAAATATTCCTGAACAAAGCACCGTACACCAACGCTGTGTGCAAAAAATCCCAGTGGGATGCAAGTCAAACAACAACAACAACCACAATTAAACTTAGATTAAGGCCATCAGTCTAACTCCATACTACAACAAAACAAACATGTCCAAACCAAAAAACTTTTCGAAATCACCAAAAAATAAAGTCATAATTGCAACGTAACAGTGATCACAGGGACTGTGACCGAATTTTTACAATAAACTACATAAATAACATGTAACACCAAATCTCAGAGCCATAGCTGGCTGCATGAGTTACTCCACAACAACAGAAGCATCAGTCGGAGTATCAAATTTTTCAATGCACCTTTAAGATCAGCACGCTAAATAAAATACAGATAATACTTTGCAGCGTCATCCGGAGCGAAACATTTTATTTTATTTTACGCCAATGAATAGCAGTGGCAGCTAGGGGTGTACAACTCCTCTAGAGCAGTTTTGAGAGAAGATCTCATTGGTAGCGATTCAAGTTGCAGTTTATTGGCAATAGCATTCCAGACCCTGGGGGCATCAATAGCAAAGGCCCTTCCTCCAGTTTTTGTACGGCAATAGGGAATGTGAAGCTGGTAGCGAAGACCTGAGGTCAAATTTGTTCTTTGAAACGGAGAGGAGATCCAGCAGGTAGTCTGTGGATTTTTTTGTAAGTACATCGTGAATAAATGAGATCTGGTGCACAAGCCGTCGAACATTAAGAGATGTTAAGTTTGACCCAATGTAGAGATCACAGTGGTGAGTCCTATATGGGCAGTTCAATGTAAATCTTAAGGCCGAGTGATAGATGGAATCAAGCTTCTTCAGTACAGTACTTGGGGCTGATTTATACACGATGTCACAGTAGTCAAGTAGAGGCAGTATGGTAGCTTTTATCAATTCCAAACGGAACATTGGGGGAAGCAGTGCTTGTGTCGATACAGAAAACCAATTCTTATTTTTGTCTTTTTACCAATATAATCAATGTGATCTTAAAAATTAAGTTTTGAATCCAGGATGACCCCAAGATATGTATAGATCTTGACTTGCTCTATTTGATAACTATTTAAGCAATGTAATTGGGGAAAAATAACTTCCTGCTTTAGTCCTGGTGAGAAGCATAGCACCTTGGTTTTGGAGGTATTCGGGACTAGTTTAAGAGCAACTAGCTGATGTTGTAGTTTGTTGAAATCACCCTGTAGCTTAGCAATCACGTCATCCGGAGAGCGGCCAGCAGTAATCAGTATCGTGTCATCTGCAAAAAGATTTACCCTGGAATGATCCAGGTCAGTGCCCAAGTCATTGACATAAAGAAAGAACAAAAGGGGGCTGAGGATGGAACCCTGTGGAACCCCTTTTGTTATTTTAACACTGTTTGACCTCCAACCATCTGTGAATACAGTTTGGGTGCGAGAAAAGAGGTAATTTTGTAACCATTTTACTGCGTTTTCGGAAAAACCGAGGCAACTTAGTTTACTAAGCAGGGTGTTGTGGTCTACTGTATCAAAAGCTTTGGACAGGTCTAGAAAAAGACAGGCACAGTCCTGCTTTTCATCAAGGCTACTGTAAATGTGATTCAGAGAGTCTAATGTAGCAGATGTGGTGCTGTATTTGTTTCGGAACCTAGATTGTTTTAGATGTAGTAGATTGTTGGTGTACAGGAAACTGCTAATTTGGTCGGTCAATAATTTTTCAAAAATTTTCATCAACGGGGACAAAATTGTGATAGGTCGGTAGTTATTTGGATCATCTTTAGGGCCCCCTTTGTAAAGTGGACGGACATAGGAATGTTTTCATTCTAGAGGAACTGATGCTTCTTTGATAGACAGGTTGAAAATATGGGCATTAGGTTTGTGTATTAGGTGACCAACAGTTAATAGAGCAAAGATGGGAATACTATCTGCTCTAGTAGAGAGAAGACCCTTTGAGGTAGGACAGTTGTTTCAGAACATTACTTTCGTGGATTGGCTGGAAACTAAATTCGTTTAATGTTTGGACAGGGGTGTAGGAATTTGCATGAGCGGGGGTGACTCCCAATACATTATCAAAAAGATTACCAGCTTCAGAAAAATGAAGGTTAAAATTGTCAACTATTTTTTGGGGATCTGAAAAATATTCCCTATTTCGGTTAAGCTCAACGAGTAGATTGTCTGTTTTGGATGCCTTTTCCATACATTTGATTGTTTTCCAGAAAATCCTGGCTTTTCCATGTGATTCCAGGAGAGTGGAGGAAAAGTAGGCATTTTTTGCATGCCATATTTTTTGGACGCATCTATTCCTTAAAATCCTGTATTCTAGCCAGTCATTGACCAAATTACTTTTCTGAGCACATGCCCAAGCCTTGTCCATAGTTTTCATGAGCTTTGTAATCAAAGGATCAAACCATGGTGGGCGGTTGCCTTAGTTTTAAATCTAACCAACGGAGCATGTTTGTTAAGATTTTGAAGAAACGTGTACCTCCCAAGCCGTAGTCAGGTTGGGGATATCACAGACCTTGTCAATATCCGAGTGAAGCACATCATTAGTAAATGCCTGAGTGCTGAAGTGTCTCATAGAGTGCTTCTCAACCAAATTAGGGGGGCTTTGGGTC